AAATTACACAGTAACCTTAAGTAAGGGAAGAAATGGGAAATATTTAGACCACAACGTTTGGAATTAAATAACTGTGTTAAACTTGTTAAGAAAGATGATGTTTTTCGTCTTTTCAGTCTTGTAGGAGTAGAAGGCAGAATACTTACTATGTATAAAATACTACTCTGTAATGCCACTGAAAATGATACTAACCTTGTGAAGAAGATAGTTCATAATTTGATTTAATTGTTTTTTTAGCTGTGAATTTTTTAAACATGTTTCAGTTAAGATACAAATATTTTAAAAAATCTCCAGCATAACATGATTTGTTTTGTCGTTTTTTTAATTTATGTTATTGAATACAAGAATACAATAGTCATTAACACCTTATATATTTTTATAGTTGCACTAGTGAATTGTTTAAAAAAAGTTGCTGATTTATATCAAAGGGGAACAAGATTTTAAGGTAGATCTTAGAATGCATAACAAAATAATATGTTTCATTAATAAATATATTTTATTAATGAAATGGTTATAAAGCGTTTTGTTAACAAATAATACTTGGATATACAGCGTTTTGAAACAAAACAAAATTAACCACTGAAAATATACATCGATTTCATAAAGTTTGATTTCAGCATATATTGTAGTCTTATTAATAAAGTACATGTTTAACTAAATCAATAATAACTTATTCCAAAATACTTAGTTTCTTTATGCAGGAGAAAAGTTCGATTTACTCAAAAACCTCAAAAATGGATTAATAGCGTTTTGAAAATGAGCTCTTCATATATGTATATATACATAACAATAAAGAGATTGAAAGATAAATTTGTATATTTAATATATATCAAATATATTAAATATACAAATTTATCTTTCGAATCTCAAATATTATTTGGTTTTATTCATGTTTAAATTTAATTTTGTTAACATTTTATAAAAAACTCACAAAAGTTTTTTTTTATTCCATAAGATGATCACACTGTGTAAAATATAGCATCTTCTAAAAGCGTGTTTACTTTCTGAATGTCTACTCAGTATTTTAGAATAAACTGAACCCGATAATCATTTAGCAACCAATTCTTTGGAGTATATTACAACCTCGGAAACCATTGGCAAATTATTTAGTCATTTATATCAATATTTTGACTTGATTTTAGCAAAGTTTTCTACATAAAATATAAAGTTTTGCGCAAAACATAACAATGGTGTTAACCAAGATGGCGGCTGGCTTTCATCGCGTTTTATATAAAGTATATACTATGGCGTCTCCTGTTTATTAAACCTCCTTGATAGTAATTTTATTGTTTACGATAGGAAACTCAGAGCTTTGTGGCATACTCAAATTTTTAGTATGTTAATACTGGTATTAAAAGAGAATAACTTGCAAAAAGTTTAGTTAATAAGAGCTAACCTAACCCCGTCCCGACTTCTAGAATTGCCCCCTCCCAAGAACTACGTCTCCTAAAGTTATTGAGTTCTATCATAAATTAGACCAAAAATTATCAACAGATTTCAAGTTTCATCAAAAAATCTCTTTTCGTTTAAGATTTATGACCATAAAAAGTTTTAAATTCCACAAATTAACCCCCTGAAATAACTTTGAATGGTCGTAACTTTTAACCTAGAAATTTTTTTATGATGAGATTTAAAATCTGTTGATAAATTTTGATCTACTTTAATATAACACAAAAAAAAAAACTTGAAAATTTCCTTTTGGGAACCATACACTAGGGCTGGGTTATTAAAGGTTAAGTAGGGTTAGCTACAATTACTTTATCGCCATAAAAAAAAAAAATTCTGGTCGATGTGGGTAACTTATTGTATTTATTTTGCATATATCATATATATTTTGCATATATCAGCTGTGCTCTCCAACTTTTCTTATTTGCCAAAACTGATTAAAATTCTGGTGAATGGATTCAAGAGCTTGTTCGGTCCAGTAACTTAAGCTTACAGAATATAAAATGCACAAAACAAGTCAATTTAATGAATAGTCGTCATAATTTATGCAAGTTTAAACTTGCATGAACTGTAGTATTATTGTAATAACATGTATTTAATTACTATTGTTATAATTAAATAAAATTATTTTAATATTTTGTCAAACTTTAACTTTATTTTTATTTTTAATACCTTCAAAGGAATTGTAGCCCTAGATTTCTATAGCTCGTAATGAACTGCTCTATATCTTTGACATAAGTAGAGCTTAATGATTTTCCAAAACAACAATGGACTACTTTTTCAAAATCTCTAAGTACCTTAATGTATTTGGATACGGAATCTCCAAGACTGGACTCCTATGTAGACTGGGAATATTAGCTCCATTAGTTTTTTATTTTTTTCCCCTGTTAATAAAGGGGGTTGAACAACATTTGTGAACATTTCTGCACTTTTTTTTAGTTTTGCACCATCTGATATTCATAGGTTGTATAATCTGCACAAAGATTTTAAAGAATAATGATCAGCTTTCTAAAAGTCAGGCGACGAGGTCTTTTGATGATTTACTTTCAAAAGCTTTTTGATTTTAAAGAAGGGTGCTTTGATGTTGCAGTTTGTTTTCCAACCATTTGAAGCAAAACCTTTAGATCTTCATATACTGTGTAATCTAAGGAAGAAATGCTCAATTTATTTATATCCAAAATTATTTGCAGATTATGATATTTTTTGTTCATTAAAGGCAAAATGGCCAGTATGATTTTTTTATGTACATTTGTATCTTTGAAGTCTTTGAACGCATATCCGTTACACTCAATTTATTTGGGATTTTATTATTTTCTAACTCTGGTTTTAGGGTGATTGATAGAGTAACTTAAGGAATCCCGGCCCACTATCTACACCTAGTTTGATATCAAAATCATTTGTTTCTTGATGTCTGTGACAAAACACCATTGCTACAGGCTCTTCAACATCATTGCAATACACCATAGGAGTTTCTTTTTCTACCAACAATTTATAAATAAAAGTTTAAAATGAATGATACAGATTACATTCTAGTTATTTTAAAAAATTGTAGGTAATAGATTACTTCCCTCTTTGTTTTTGTTTACTCCTAACAATAATGGGAATTTATCACCATCAAAAAATTTTCCAATCAGCTGGTTGCTCTCAGACAATTTAATATGGAAACCAGATTGCACATTTTTCCGTCCTCCTTCACTTCTCAAAAAGTTTACAACTTCTTTCATATTGCAATTACTTAGAATTACTCATAACAAAGTTGTTTGAAAAATTGGCTTTAAATTCATAAGTATACTATTATAAAAAAATTAAAGCACCAAAAGTTTGTTCAATTTATCCAAAGAAAATAAAAGTTCTTTAATCTCAGTCTTTCCGACAGAAACAACAAGTTGTTTTGAACCAAAAGTTTTTAAAGATAAAGTGTTCCGTGATTCATTTGTGGTCAAGCCTTTATTGAACTGGACAGAACTTTTCCTTGCGTTGTCGGGGATGTTGATCTTACAATGGCCGTCAAGTTCTTTTGTCTTTCTAATTTTGTACAGGAATGTGGAATTCCTTGTGCCACTTGAACATAGCAATCTGGACAAAAAAATCTTTTTGCAGGTTTATTTGAAACGTCTAAGGCACTTTTATAAACAAATTTTCCCGAAACATATTTAACCATAGGGACTAATATAAAAAAATTTCTAGATTAAAAGTTATGACCATTCAAAGTTATTTCAGGGGGTAAATTTGTGGAATTTAAAACTTCTTATGGTCATAAATATTTAATATATAATAAAGTTCTATCAAAAAAAGATTTTTTGATAGAACTTGAAATCTGTTGATAACTTTTGGTCTAATTTATAATTACTTAAAAAATTTTAATAACTTTAGGAGACGTAGTTCTTGGAAGAGGGAAATTAGGGGTCGCGACAGGATTGCCTTAGCTCGAATAACCTTTTACAAGTCATTCTCATTTAATACCAGTATTAACATATTAAAATTTGAGTATGCCACAAAGCTCTGAGTTACCTATCTTGAGCAACAAAATTACTAGGCACTCGCTCAAAATACGTTATTTCTCACTAGGCCCCTTGTGAAAAAAGTTGTTTTTTACATTTTTGAAATAAGAAAAAGTCTTCTGAGAATTAACAACAAAAAAGTTTCTGGGGATGTGTTGCAAGGTCTCAGAGCATATTCCTATGCACCGTGATAACGAGGTATTGAATGATTTGATAATTTGTTGTTGAGCTTGATTCCAATACTCTTTTATGGTCTGCTACAGATTAATAAAATATTAATTGATCCTTCCTTTGACTTTGAGATTTGAGACTTTTATTTTTATTATTCGATTGATACTTTTTTTTTATTAGGTTTTACTGTTTTTATATAGGGTAGAGCGAGGTTGGTTGTGGAATTTTTACTAATTCTAACAGATTTCATAAACGGCACGTCGAACTTAAATAATTTTAAAAAATTGTGTAAATTCGCTTATTTAATAGTTACTCGGTTAAGAACAAAAATTAGTAAAGAAAAAGTATATTTTTTTGGTTTGTTTAAGAAGTTATTGCTAAAAGTATACCGAGCCGTTAGGAGAAGAGAATATTTTATATAGTCATATAAAATAAAAATAATTGAAACAATTATTTCGAAACTTGAAGCCTGATTTGAAAATTACTAATTAGAATATATAAATATATATATATCGCAAAATTCTTTATTATCAAAGTTGTTTCTTTATAGTTTAGTTTAGTCTTGTTTATTTTTTGAAAGCTCCTTTGTTTTTGGCTTTTATATTTTAAAGCTCCTCAACTTACCCTTATTAAACAAAGTGACACATTATTTAGGTTTGAAAGAAAACAGTAAGTTGTAGGAATAAACGGCTAATTATAATCGAAAGTCTGATAAATTCATAAAGTATATCATGGAGTGGTGAAAATTTGTAAAATATTAACACTTAAGTGTTAATATTTTGCAAATTTGTAAAATATTAACACTTAATTGAAATGTAAAACTTATCTTTGTAAAACCTAGCTAAACAAAGATGAGTTTTACATTTCCGTTTCCGAAGACGTCAAAACATAACTATTTATGTCAGTTGTAACGTAATTATGCACTCATAGAATGCTCGTGTTAAAACTTAAAGACACATAGTCGTAAAGACAAAGACAACAATAACATTAATTTTGCTCTTATAATTTATTGCTATATTATTGTATTGAAATGCGACAAAGTAAAGTGTTTAGAAATTTAACTGGTGCATAAAGATTTTCTATTGATAATGGTAGGTAAAAAAAGTTTTATGTAAAAGATTATTATATTTTAATACATTTTAATAAACATCAAAAAATTAATAAAATTGTTTAAAGTTCTTTGTTTTATAGTTCTACCATTATCTTTGCTGTCATTGCTCTTTAGAAAAATTTAGTTTCGCTTTAGCTTTTAACTAGGACAACGGGAGTTTTGCTGTTATTTTTTTGACTAAACCATTGCTAAAATTAAAAGACTTGGTTCTTTTATCTGTAGGAATGATTTAGTCAAAAAAAAATATAGCCAATTTTCAAAGGCTTTTGTTAGATTGCATGGTTCCATTTCTTTTCTATTAATCTTGATACGCAATTGCATTGATAGTACTATATAATTGCATTCATAGTACTATCAATGCAATTGCGTATCAAGATTAATAGAAAAGAAATGGAACCATGCGATCCAACAAAAGCCTTTGAAAATTGGCTATATTTTTTTGACTAAATCATTCCTACAGATAAAAGATCCAAGTCTTTTAATTTTAGCAATAATTTAGTCAAAAAAAAAAAGAAAATAATGAACGTGTAGACCATTGCTAGTTTAAAATCATTTCCGCCACTGTCAAGGGCAGAAATGTTTATAAATATCAAAGCATATAGGTTTATTTTTACTAAATGGTTTTTATTTTTTCCATAGTGCATTCGGGTGACGCGGAAAAAGGCATCATTGCAATGGAAAGTATTAAGACAGGACAAAGTAAAACGCCTACGGTAATAAATTACGTAATTTATTACCGTACGCGTTTTAATTTGTCTTGTCTTAATATTTTCCATTGCAATGAAGCCTTTTTCCGCGTCAGCCGAATACACTGTGGAAAAAATAAAAACCATTCAGATAAAATAAATCTATATGCCTTGATATTTATAAATATTTCTGCCTTGACAGTGGCGGAAATGATTTTAAACTAGCAATGGTCTACGTATTCATTATTTTCTTTAAGAATATCCGATAGGATATTTTCAATATTTGCAAGTTTATATTCAAGTTGTTACATATACATATTTCATTTTAATTTTAACATATACATATTTCAAATTAATAAGGGCTTCAATTTTAATGTTTTACACGTTCTTATTTCTTTTTATTGTTTTCAGTCATGAAAAATCTGGCCATACAACCATGTTTAGCAAACTGTCTGCTTCTGCAAACGGATCGCGTACATTTGAGCATTGTTTTGAAGTAAGCTTTTTTTTTTTTTAATTGTAGTATTTAATTCAGAATTAAATTTAATTTCAGAATTTAATGACAAGTATTTTATTTTAGCTTTTATTTTATAATTTTATTCGGAACTAAAACAAAATTTAGAATTAGAACGTTGGTTTTGCCGTTGCGTTCTTAAATCACAGAAGGGTATTGCCGGCATTTAATTCTGAGATTAATTGCCCACAGTATAATTTAAAATATAAAGTTAAAACTATTCGCCACCTAATGCTTGCGTAGCTTATAGTAACATCACACGCTGGCGACCTGAGTTCGAAACAGAGTTGCATTTTTTATTTTTTCGTGAAAATTTATGTTTTATTTCAAACAGTACTAGTTTTTATTAGTGTTACCCATCATTAGTGTTTGTTAATTTTTGTTTATTGATAATTGCCATTTATTAGATTTAAGTTTAATAGGTGCCTCAAAGTGTACATACAACAACTGATATAGCCGTAGGCTAAACAGTGTATGCTTACGACTGATTTAGGTATAAGCGCAGCAAAGTCTAAATTTAAAGACTGACTTGAAAAGGGATGGGCAAAGTAAAATGTACATACCACCGACTGACTTTGATAGGGTTAGACCTGTACATAGATTGACTGAGGGTTTTGGTTTGGGCAGCAGTATATAATTAAAAAAAAAGTCTTTATTATTTTAATACTGGCGTAAAAAAAGTTATAAAAGTAAATTAATTATAATAAAATAAATAAATACATAATTTAAATTGTTTTTCTAACAACAAAACTAAGAAACTAACCAAATCACAAGATTGTAGCCTGTTTTTGGCCTAAAATCGGTGATTTTAGGCCAAAAACAGGCTACAATCTTGGCAAAGATATCTCAAAAAATATAACTTATTAAGTTCTAATTTTTTGTATTTTTATTTGCTTTATGTAGATAAATGTCTTGAGATAAATTTTTGTTGAAAATTTCTTTATTTTAAAGCACCGTTAGATTTTTCAAAGCGCCCAATTAATAATCTAATTTCTGATATTAAGAACAAAAAGTTTGTTGTTTTAAAAATTTATATTCTAAATTTTTATCATCTCAGGACATAAATCTTATTATAATGAATCTCTGTACAAAATTTTAGGTCAGTTGGACAATTACATCTTTGCCAGAAAATTAGAAGAATAAAACAGAGAAAAAAGCATATAAAATTAAAAATATTGAATATACAAACTTATTAAAATCCCCTTTTTTTATATACTGCTCTTCTTAACTTTTGTACTTTTTATCAAACCCTTTCCTAGTTGCTTTAAAATTTTTTCTTTGTTTTTTAATTTTTTTTTATTACTAACCTTAACTAGCGGTCGCTATGAGCGTTGCTAGGGGAAACAAAATTACCTACTTATATAAATCACTTTTGTTAGTTCTAAATTTTTTTTCTCATACGAAGATCTATATATTTTAATGCTCTACATCAGTTACTGTTTAAAACAATGCCACTTTTGAACAATCGTTTTTTTCTAACTTTTTTAGCAGTCTACCACCTTAATAAATCCAAATTATTTCTTTACACGCGCTGCCGGCAATTAATCTCAAAATTATTTGCCAGCACTGCCGACAATTACCATTAGCCTTATTAAATTAATATATCCATAATTTAAATAAAACTTTTGTTTTGTGTTTTTATTTTAACAATTTTAGTTCAAATCTAAACCATACCTTTGGTTTTTAAATAATTTTATTCAGACCTGAAATAAAAAGTTTGTTTTTCCTTTCATATTTAATATGCTTTATTTAGAATTTAAATAAATTGTTTAACTTGACATTTTTAATTATTTTATTTAGATTTTTAAATAGATCGTTCGTTTGTAATTGCTCTTTTCTTTTAAGAACATTGAACACTTTGTTTTGTGGAATACATTTTTAAAATGTTTAGATATATGTATATGTATATATATATATATATATATATATATATATATATATATATATATATATATATATATATATATATATATTTTATATATATATATATATATATATATATATATATATATATATATATATATATATATATATATATATATATATATATTTATTCATATATATTTATTCATATATATATATATATATATATATATATATATATATATATATATATATATATATATATATATATATATATATATATATATATATATATATATATATATATATATATATATATATATATATATATATATATATATATATGAATGTTGCTAAAGTGGCGGTAAATACCGCCACGCTAAGCTTTAAAATTTGCTAGAGTGGCGGTAAGATTCATGACGCAAATTACCGCTACCTAAAGTTGATATTTTGCTAAAGTGACGGTAAATACCGCCAAATTAAGTATGCAATACTTGCATACCTAACGTCACTTTCTCATAATACCAAAAAGTCACTTTCTGAAACTCATAATACTATTTTTCTGCGATTCACAGAAATATAACATTTAATGTCAGAATTAAAACAGAATTCACTTTTTTCAAAAAACACTTACTTTCTGATTATAAGACACAACTGTTACACTATTTCTTTGACGCAGAGGATGCCAATGAGCTTATGCAAACTGTGCAATAAATTCTTGTGCTCAAGCTGCTGTTTGGAAGCATTGTCCCTTATGTAACTTCATTTTCTTTTTTTAATTTTAAAATGTTGATGTAAAGTTTTAAAATTGTGTTTCACCGAGTTTTGCCTCGTTTTAAGAGGCTTGCCTGATCCTAATAAATTACCGCCACTCTAGCAAATTTCTCATCTTCAAGTGGCGGTATTTACCGCCGCAATAGATTTATTTTATATATATATATATATATATATATATATATATATATATATATATATATATATATATATATATATATATATATATATATATATATGTATATATATATATATATATATGTATATATATATACATATATATATATATATATATATATATATATATATATATATATATATATATATATATATATTTATTTATATATATATATATATATATATAAATTTATATATATATATATATATATATATATATATATATATATATATATATATATATATATATATATATATATATATATATATATATATATATATATATATATATATATATATATATATATATATATATATATATATATATATATATATATATATATATATACAGGGCTTGCGCGAATAGGCGTCATGGGAGGAGATGCCTTTTCACTTTACCCACTACAAAAAAAAAAAAAAAAATGAGAAAAAAGAAAGCATGTTAACAATAAAATAACAATAACAAAACTTTTACAATCAAGAAAACCCAGATATATACCGGTAATAATATAGCAAAAAGCCGTATATTATATATCACCTTTAACATGGTCAACTTACAGTATAACTATTACAAACGCATTAAATTTTCGCCTGCGCTCGCTGCCTGTCTGGTCGGCCGCTTACAAATTGGCCTGCACGTCTCATCAGCAACAATCACACCTGGTTTATTTATTGTTACTATTCTATTTTTATTTTTTACTTATTTCGTTTGATTATTGGTAATTTTAAAAGGTATCAACTTTCGAATAGGTTAGAAACAGGTTGATCTAATTCCTTCTTTGGATAAACTTGCAAACGAGCATCTCATATTTTTCCATCAGTCTCTCTCTTAAGTTCCAAAACTTTTTCCATACGCCATTGACTTCTAGAGATTTTGGTAAAATTTTGTATAAGAACAACATTTACTACTATCTTTTTGTTCGGTATATTAAGTTTTATTAAGCGTATAAATGTTTAAGTTCATTAATATAAGTACATGCAAATCCAAAAACTAAATGTTGTAGTTTTTATAAATATTGTTCTTTTTGAAATATCTTCAGGTAGTATATGAATTCCATTATATTTATTAGTACATGCAAATCCAAAAACTAAATATTGTAGTTTTTATAAATTTTGTTCTTTTTGAAATATTTTCAGGTAGTATATGAATTTCATTAAATTTATTATAAATATTTCGTCCAAACATCAAATGGTATGATGTTAACGCTTACTCAGTATTGTCACGGATTCCATTTCACATAGTATCGTTTCTAGTTCTTTGTAAGATAAATAATCTTTTCTAATTGTTTTCTTCATTGTAATTAACAGACCTAGCTAAGCATTAGTGAAAACCGCAAAATCAGGGAGAAAATGATAAAATAATCTTCTGTTGCACACCATTTTTACATAAAATTTCAACTTCTTTATATATAAAGTCTTTAAAATTATTGGAAATAATATGATCATCCTGCAGGAAAACGCTTATGAAGGCCGGAAATAATGAAGACTGGAAATTATAAAGGCCGGAAATGATGAAACGCTTATGAAGGCCAGAATATGTCAGGTATTAGTTGTTTGACTAGGCGCGCATGTCTATAGCAAAACATATACCTTGCAGGCAGTGTCCTTATTAACTGTTTTTATAAATATAGGTCCTGCATAATCCAAACCAATTGATTGAAATGAATATGAATTATTAACTCAAAAGTCGGGCAAACGAGCTGCTAGGTGGTAACAATGTTCTTCCTTTGAATTTCTTGCATGTTACATATTGTCTAATAATACTTTTTATTGCTAATCTTCCTTTAATTTCGAGAATTCGAAACGTACTTCATTCAACGTAGATTTGATTCCATGGTGTAAAACTTGTCAATTTGATTCCATTATGCAAAACCAACCTTCCTTGTCACGTAAGAGTCCTTTGCTGTAAAGTTTCAAAGAAAGTAAATCAAATACATATCCAATATTAATGATGAATTTTTTGAATGAACTATATATACATGCACCGTTAACACTACTCAAATTTGGTGGTAAGTTCAAAAACAACATTAAAAATCACTACATTTTCTCTTCTTTCACAGACTTAGTATCAACCTGAAACATGCTTTAAATTCATTGACTTTTTTATTCATTATTAACGAAAATTCTTCTAATGGCATTCACTCTATTCTCCACCCATGATTTCTAGT